CCCCCGAGTTTTGATAAGCAGAGAAACCGTGGCCTGGTCCGTCCTCCCCGGTCCCCTCCTGCCCTGTCTCCCCCACGACGACGCAATCTGTTCTCTGTCTCTGAGGCTTACTTTGCTTTTTCTATAGTTTTGCACAAGTGGGGGTGGTACACGGTGTGTGCTTCTGTCTGTCTGTCTGTCTTCTGGCGCTCGACAGCACCGTCCTGAGATTCACCTGTGTGGTCGTGTGGTGTCCAGCGTGTTGCTGTTTAGATCAGAGTCCTGTTGCTCTGGATGGACACACTGCGGTTTGCTCATCCAGTCGTCTGTTGATGGGCCCCAGACAGAGGGGACTTGGCAACTTGCCCAAAATGAGGGGAAGGAGCTGGGGTTTGAAGTGTCAAGAAAAACAAACAGATCCAGAAGTTTCTCTGTTTGGCTTTCCTGGTGCAGAGGGGCCTCCCCTCAGGAGCCCGCCCCTGGGTCTGGAGGTGCTCGCCGGGGCACACGGCAGCCTTGCTGGTGGCTCTCAGAGAAGGGGCCATGTAGCCACCAGCGTCCAGAACCCCATGACTGATGTCCCACAGGTGGTGGGCGAAGGCTCGTGGATTCCTTTTTTATAAACAAAAGACGGAGTCGGTTACTAGTCTAAGCAGGTTAAGACACGTGTCTGTCCCACTTTGGTGGTATAGCGTCCCTTCCGTGCATTGGAGTTTTCAGCCACCCTGGCGTGTTCCCGGGTGCCCTGTGGAGATCGCGGTGATGCCTGCATTTGGCGCCACGATTGCCAGAATCTTGTGCCGCACCACTCAGACGGCTGGACCCCCGTTCCCGGTGCCCGGCTCCTGATGGCCTTCTCAGCTGCACCTGCAACTCTGACACGCAGCCCCACTCTGTCAGCTGGATCTCTTCCCGAAAGCCCTTAGAGATGTGTGGTTTTCTCTAAAGCAACCGGGTGGCAGGAGCCCCCTGTGACCCCATTCTGGAAAACAAAGTCTGTTCAGACTCATTCGCAGCCTTTCTGCTTGGCCCGCACTTCTAGAACCAACCACTTGCAACGTTGCTGCAGATGCCGAGCTTTGCTCGAGAGCCAGGCGCACGGCGGACATCCCTTCCACCTCCAGAGGCCTGAGTGGTTCTGTCTGGGGTCAGTCATAAAAGGGGAAAGTCCCAGCAGCCGGTGGGGAGCTTGGCGCCAGCCAGGAGCTGGAGGGGCGTGTGTGCGGTGGAGACGGCCCTCCTGCCCAGACCAGCCCGGGGCCAGCACTGGTGGGAGGACTGGTGCCCTGGGAGGTGGGCCGAGCTCACGCAGGCTGCGGTCTTTCTGTGTGGTAGGGGCAGGCCCCAGGCAATACAGAGACCGGCGTCAGGATGTGGACTCACTCTCAGGAGAGCAGCTAAGTGCCCCCCGCCACACAGCAGTGCGGAGGCAGGCTGGGCCCGAGCCCAACTGTACTGAGCCCCACTGAAGTCCTTGTACTGCTTCAGTAAATTTCTATGGGCACGTCTCATCTGTCCTGGAAGGCGCACACTTCCGTGGGTTTCCGCAAGGGGAGCCCACCTGCATAAACGCCTCCAGGACTAGACACAGAACCTGAGCAGCTCTGGGAACCCCCTCCTGCCCCCTCCCAGCCACTCAGCCCCCACCCACATCTTTAAAGTGGCTCTTTTCCTGCCACATGGGCCGGGGTGGCTGGGTGGGCCCAGACACTCTGCCCACACACTGCGGACACAGCGTCCAGTTTAAATGCACGTGGAGGGTTAGAGGGGGTCCCAGGCTGGGCCCGGGAGTCTTCGGGCCACTCCTGAGTGATGGTGGCTCCCCAGCATTCCAGCCCCACCTAACGGCCACCCACCCTTCAGAGCCATCCAGGTTGGACAAAGACCGCGAGCGTCCTGTTCTTTGGGACTCAGCCTCTTGCCAGGCAGATACCTGAAAGGCTCCTCACAGGTGGAGGGTCCTTGTGCAGAGTCACATGCTTGCCGGCTCCACAGAGACCGGGTCCTTCCTCAGCCCGTCTCCCCCCGAGGTCTCAGGTGTTGGAGGAGGTGGCCCCGGGGTGCGAGGGAAGGCAGGTTTTCCCCCACTGACTACCTCGATTGCCCTCACTGAGATGGAAAATGGCTGGCGCTCCTTCTTCCCCCTCGCCCACTCCTGCCCAAGCTCAGGGTTGAGCTAATGGTCACTCCTCTGCATTGGCCCCTGACTCGCTGCCAGACATCTGACTCGACCTGGTCACCTTGTTTAACACTCAGCCCATGAGCAGGTGCTGCTGGGGCCCTCATTCAGGTGGGGACACTGAGGCACGAGGAGGTGAAGCCCCGTACCAAGCTTGCACCCCTGGGAAGCTTTCTGGGCCCCACTCTGGCTATTCTTTTAGGAACCAGATTTGGATCTCCCATGAGGAAAACGCTGTGCACTCACAACATGCCCTTCTCTCTGAGCATGAATCCATCTCAAGCCAGCTTCGGCTCTGAGACTGCAAAGCCCGGGGCTCCAGCCAACAGGATCAGATAAAGATTTTCATCCTGAAAGTGGAGCTGCCACCTCGGTTGAGGCTATATTGTGCATCAGTGGGATGCTGACGAACTGGGTCAACACACAGGCGACATCACAGACAGATCTTTTCCCAGATTGTCCTCCAGCGCTGGCTCTGGGATCATGAGGTCCAGGGAGGGAGAGAGGCAGGTGATCCAAGCGGGGACTTGCTGTGCTCAGGCAGCACGGTGGGAGCCCCTGGGCCGCCTTCCCGTGTCCTCCAGATGGTGGGAGCCCCTGGGCCGCCTTCCCGTGTCCTCCAGATGATGGGAGCCCCTGGGCCGCCTTCCCGTGTCCTCCAGATGGTGGGAGCCCCTGGGCCGCCTTCCCGTGTCCTCCAGACGGTGGGAGCCCCTGGGCCG